ATGGCATACTCCAAGGCTTTGAGTTGTAATCCTTCCCCAGTGGCAGTTGCAGTCACGTGATTATTGGCAGAAATGTCATATTCGTCATCACTTGTAGACGAGTGGCTTATGCTTCCAGCGCTCTTTACGTCGGGTGACGTCCTTAAAGTTTCGGTTTCACATTCCGTCTTCTCGAGGGAGTTGGTGATTCTCGGAGCTCGTGTGTGGGCTCTTCTTTTTTTGTTTGGGTTCATTGCAGGTACTTTATTTGTATCCGAGTCAGTGTCTGAAGTGCTCACTTGTGATGATACTGGTCGTCGCGACGGAGGCTGCATTTTATAATGCATGGGCTGAGATGTATTTTCTTCGTTCTCCGCTACTACGTGGTTCTGAGCATGCGCATCTCCCACTGTTCTAATGACCACTGTCTGTGCTGCATCGTTATCGTCCTCGCTTTGAAATAAAGCACATCAGAAATCGGCAGCGTATTTGTGCTGCCATGTGAATACTGTCTATTAGGTGGCGCCATCTGCGTCGACATTTTATCATACAGCTTTCTTTTTTCGGCCTGCATCATGGCTTGCACGGACCTTTGGTGACTGCGCATGCGTACATCTTCGTCAAGTTCTCGAAGTCTAATGAGGTGTAGAAAAAGAGTTGGCGAATAAGTAGAGGATAACGTTTAGTCACAACGACGTGTTTTGACGCAAACATTGCTTCATTTTTTAAATTTATTTTCCCCTTTTTTTCAATACCGAATAATATATTACGAAACTACATCTATCCTAACATAGATCTAGGTAGGTACATTGTCGTGTCTTTTATAGGATATACGCAGTACAGAGATCACCATGTAATTGTAAAATACACTATGTTCAACGAAACATTATATGAACACAACTGCCATTATAAAATAGCTGATTATAACACATCAGCCTACCAATTATTTGAGAAGAAGATACTCACTTTTGCTTGGCACGTATTACCATTAGGATTAGAGCAATAATTAGAAGTATTATTAACAAGACAGCCACCCCCATTCCAATGTAAATCAGTATCACTGTGATTGAGGTAATATAAAGTACGCAAATGTAAGTCAGAACTGTTTTGATTTGAAGAAGAATAATAATTAACTTTTTCATCACCAGACATTCTCGCCCAAATTTGTCTGCACCTTTTCTATAATATTTATGCAAGTAAACCTAAATTTTGGAGCTAGCCGTACAAAGTTTGAGTCAATTTTCAGTTTTTATTCAAACAATTTGACTATTTTTGTCCAAATCTTCTGAAGGAAAGTGCAGACTATAAACGGGACTATTTTGTGATGAAAAGAAGGAATTGGTGGTAAAAAGGTTAATGTGAGAAACGAGATAAATTTTGGATAGGCTGTCTTCTTCGCGATTGTCTTTTTACTCGTATGATTTGTCATAACGCCGCCTTTTGATTAGCGTTGTAAAATTCAGAATGTGTAGTATATGGGTGAACATGAGCAGACGTTTTCTCCTCTGTTAGCGGCAGGTACAGTGGAAACAAACACGTGATACTAGAGGGCAGCACAACAGAAATGTCATACTCACGTTTAGGTTCAGTCATGTTGATACGTTTTACTGAGTAGCTTTCAGAATAAAGCTAATGATGCCCAACAAATAACTCTGCCTTTATTCTGTGAAACGAGAAAAATAATATTTTCATTTCCCCCACAATTCAATTTGAATCCAACATGTTCCTATTTGTATAAGCTGTGATGTTGATGTATGCTTTATAATAACCATTTCATTAACGCTCCCAGGTATAAGTTATTAGATCCTCGATCTGAGAATCTTCACTCTGGCAAATTAACGGATGTTTAATATTGAGTAATTTATTCTATAGCACTGACAATAAATATGCAAAACACAATCACCACGTGACTTGGATCTTGTCTGGAATAAATTATTCTGTTAAAGTGCCTTGTTGGACCACAACGAATTGTTTTAACCGACATGTATGTAATAAGGCAATACCGTGATTTTTTTTAATTCAGTGAGCGTCAACGGAAGTCATTCGCTTCAAGTTCATTGTGAATAGTCTTACCTATATTTGTTTTTGCTAATAAAAAATGATTTGATGCATTTGGCCACGACCATCAAGTACAATTTACTATGTGTCGTCCAAAATTCCATATCTGGGATTTTTTTCAACTTCAAAGTTATAGGAACGCAATAGGAACATCGTGTCATTGTCGTACAAATACATATATATATATATATATATATATATATATATATAATTACAGATACATACATTTATCATACATACGATTGTTGAATGCAAAGTTAGCAAGGATGCCAAACAGCATGGCTGACTGTAGACTACATGTTTATTGCTTCACCGTACCTATATTGATGATGAATGTAGGAACATTGCTTGTATGTCGTGTACTCTGGGTAATAGGTATGACAAGTTCCGAACATGTTGTATACTGGTAATACAATTATGTATCTATTTTTTTTTTAATCTTGTGCAATAAGCATATTTTTTTGTACATTCGGTAGTATACGTGCCCGCGGCGGCGACAACATTTTCCATGACAGGAAACAAAAGCAAAACTATTAAATACCATTAATCATTCGGGGAAAAACATCAACTACGACGAGTTTGCGAAATAATATGCGTCTTTACAGCGCTATGGTCTTTATTGTTGTGGTAACGTATGCATATGCAAATGAGAATAAGCATGTTTACACCATGGAGCTAGTCTTTTTTACCACCATGTTTACACCATGATCCCAGGTAGTGAGTTGCCTTCATTATACACATTGAGAAAGATCTTACTATTTGAGGCTAACTCGTCTCTATAAAACTGGATTATAGTACGTTGATATGCTTGCACCGAGGAAATCGAGACATGTGCGTGTATGTAATCCGTGTTGTTAAACTTTAAGTGGTACACATGGGGTCACAACAAAAGGTCATTACAATCAACGGCGAACGGCCTCCAAACACACAAAAACAGTACGGCTGAACAATATTGTATAAATCAGATCACATTATGGTTATGAATTGGTAACATTCACAGTGCAAGCC